ATTACGTTAATATATCTCGTCCCGGCAAATGCGTCCGACTAGCTGCAAGACATTCGTTCTCGCGACGCCAAAAATCACCCTGCCACCTCGTGTAAGATTACCTTCGCGGCGTTGCGTAAGGTCATAAAATCTCACCTTTCCAGGTGTCAAGGGTCGAGTCCGCACGTCGTTCTACACACGCGATCTCAGTTACACGTACGTCGTGCCCCTTTGTGAGCCCTTCGCCGTCGCCCTCCCCTCGCTGCGGAAATTCCGCGCTGGCAACAAGGATCCCACGACTTCCTGTTAACCCCCGGCGTCGCAAACTTTCCCTTCGATCGCGGAATTTCTCCGTGACCTTTTCGCTCGGGGACGCGGACACTTTCCTTGGAAGACCGATAACGCATGTGGCTCGAGGTAATTGCGTTAATTAATATAATCGCGAAAAGCAAGTTCGTACTCATCTCTGCGAATATCTTGAAGCTTTTCCTCTTTACCTCGAGATCGAGTTTGAACGCTTTAGACTGGGGATTATTTACAGGATTTTCGCAATTCCCAATTGATTATGCGACGCGTAATGCATATAAAATAACCAACTGAAATCTGAAATTTCCAAAGTCCACATTCCTCTTCAGGATATCTTCGTTAAAATTATTATTTCCAGTAAAAGAAATCGAGATACCTATGTTACTTTCTTCAAATTGAATTTCGACTAAGAATACGCATCGTCAAACAAATCAAGTCATCACTTAACTCACAAATTTCGTCCGAAACTTGAGCGATCATCCCCAGCGAAATTTTTAATTTCTAAACTCATTCATCCCCCCCGAGGAGTAGCTCCCAAGGTCACCAAAGTTAAAGACCGAGAGGAAGAGCCTCCGTGGTGACGCATCCTCGCTCTCTAGGAGTCGTCACCCTTAAGGAAAAGTGAAAGAAGCCACCCTCACCTTTGCTGTCACAGACGTCGCAGAGCACCATATCCGGCGACAACGAAGCGCGTGTATCCTACCGCGTGGCCGCATCTGCACTGAGATATTTTGTAACGTAGGGCGGCATCGCGACGGGTTGCAAGAGGTGGCGGAGGAAATTGAAGGCGAGGAGGAGGAAAATGAGGAGGCCCGGCGTTCAACGACACTGTCGATCGATCGGTCTGCAAAGTGTTAACGGTTTGACAGCCACGTTTGCACTGGCGATGTAGCGCATCAGAACCGATGTATGGACGACCAACGGCCCCAACGACGGGGGTCGAGGGAAAGGGGGGACCATACCGATGTGACCCACTGTGGTGGGGATACCCGGATCAATATTAGGGCGTAGACTCAAGGGCAAGGGCCGCCGGTGGCTGTGTGGGGGGTGTCGGTCCTCCGACGCCGTGGATTTCGGCGGAGGAAATTTAGAGCGGATTTTTTCTTGGCCAAACGAAAATTAGTATTTCGCAGTATACGCTCCGAGAGATAAAATCCAATGAAGTAAATAAATAGCGAGCTCTCGTCTCCTAAATTTATCTCATCGAACTCGTACTTTACGTTTTCATTTTACAGAGTAATAGAAGCTAAAGGGTTAAAATAAAATTAGCTCAAAGGTTACTGAGAGAAGTTAATCGTTAACCGACAGACCACATATTTATTATGCATGATTTTTAATGGTAGATTTCATTGTTAACTTAAGAAAATTTGTAGAAAGGATTATCCAACGACGTTAGGCTGGCAGTTGTCTTTATTAATTATATTCCAACGTTTCGACCATACGGATTGTGGTCCTTTTCAAGGAAATAGATGTTAAATAATAAATTATCAAAGATATATCAAAGGAAACGGTCTACAATCCGTATGGTCGAAACGTTGGAATATAATTAATAAAGACATCTGCCACAGCCTAACATCGTTGGATAATCCTTTCTACTGTCAATAAACTACTGGCGACTTACACTCATTCGTTGTTAAGAAAATTTAAAAAAATTCTATTAACAATATTATCGAGGCACCCAGATTTTTCAAACGATTATAATAAACAAAAAGAATTAATCGCGCGTTTCTCGTCAAATAAATTTTTTATATCTAGACGTACACTCAAGTTTGTATTAAACTTTGTTTTATCAATAAAATTTAATCAGATTTTAATTATTGAAATATCCTATTTGCTGTGGCTTTCGTCAATCCTCGCAACAACAAAAATTGGCTCTACAGTCGTTGAAATTCAGGTCAAGGGTTCTAGAGCACCCTGTATAAGGGCGTAAAGCGCACGCAGCCGTGTGCGTGCGTGCGAAGGAATTCGGATGCATCGCGCAACGATGTCGATCGTGATTGTCGTCGATGCGCCCCATTGTGCCTAGAATTTGTTGTACGCGACCTTTCCACGCTCTCGCGATCAGCGGGATCGGTTCTATCACCTTCACCTGACTGGGACGTTTACACGAGATTACCGTGTTGTAAAAAATTATTGCATGGGCGTGTAAAGCGCCGCTTGTTCGCCTCGCGATAATATACGTTAGTTATCGGATAATCTATATTTACGCCGATTGACATAAAAAATCCTTTTGCTAATAAAATCGACGAACGATTACATTGTAAGACATTCGCTTGTATGTTGGGTAATTTAATTTGCTGATTAATCTCAAGTTGGCGACTCTCGTTTCTCAAATAGTTAATTTCTTCGCGATTGGCTGCTGCCTAATTAAATTCTGTAAGTTCCTAGCAAAAGAAAATACTGACTTTGCACGCGTCTGTAGATGAAAAATATCTTGCAAAGGCTAACTTAATTTTACTCTTGATTTCAACCAATATTCGCACTGTCCGATGTTTGCGCGGTCGAGTTGCAAGTCTCGCTGAGGCAAATGCTAAAAACGATTACGCGTTATATACCGTTAATTGTGCATGACGCGTTCTCGCCTCGTTTTACATATCAAGACTTTCGCGGCGCCGTGAGAATGCGAGAATGCCGGCGTCTTTCGCGACACGAGGGAGAAACCTGCCTATCTTCTGGCTTTCGGTACGAAAGTGCGGTATTACGCGAACGTCCGGGTATTCGAGCGTGACAGCCAGCCGGCCCACGGGTGCATAGTTCAAGCGTAAACGCGGTATTTCACCGCGACACGAAAGGATTAACCCTTTCGCGGCCACCGACGACCCGAGATCCTTTGATTCAGGAATTTTTCCCGAGGCGGCTGCTTTACGGACCTTCCCTGAAGACAGAGATGGAGACGGAACGTCGGCTTCGCGCCAAGATTATGTATGATCAGCGTAATGTGACGACGTCTGTTTTGCGGACGCAATGTTTCTCCGCGACGTTCGCGAAGAAATTAATTTGTACAGCTGGCAAGTATTTTGTGCGCTCGCGCGATCGCGATGAATTTAGTTTAACAAAACAATTAACAATGCCACTATGTTTTCTAAGGAAATTTCCGTTTCATCAAAACTTTGAGAGAAACGATCTTCCTCCCTTCGCATTCTTTCTCCACTTTCTTCTACGTAACATTAGACTGCGAAAAAGTTTAGATATTCAATTGTTAACTTGCAATCCATCTTTCAGTTTCTAAGTTCCTTCTTTTTCGTAGTCCACGCAATGCCGCGGGCACAAATGCAGGCCTGTTCGAAAATTACGGCGCGTATCAACATTCTTGAGTCATCGGGCAGGCACGTAAGCAAGCGGAGATACAGTGAGTCTACTTGTAAGACGATAAGTCGTAGATAAGAATGCTTAGCCAGGATAAAAGAGCGGTGCGAGGTACGCCTACCGCCGGAGCGCCTTTTTACGCGTTGCGTTCAACTAAAGGTGACGGCGATGCCACCGCTCGCGTTGAACGCGCATTCACATGGAGAACCAGAATATTTCCTGGAAGCACGTACCCGTGAGAACACACCGACACTTTCGGCATCTACCGAGCGGTAATTCGTATCGCGGACCGCAGGCGAAAAGCGACGCTAATTTCCAATCTACTCTGATCAGACAATTTAAGGTGACATTAGTTTGCGGCTAGTTTCAGCTTGTTTCATTAACTTTGTTATTTTAAAATAGCGAGCGAGATTTTTATCGCGAATTAAGATCACGTCAATCCTGTACCTCTTTCCCCGAGATTTCTAAGCTCAAAACAGATCGGGTGAAGAAAGGAGAAATTATTTATGCGCAATGGGTGAATAAATGCAATGACATTTCGACTCGTAAATCTCGCGCTCGAGGGGCACAGGGCTCGATCTTGCTATTTGCATAAGTGTGGCTCTCCGGGAGTATCCTGTATGCAACCGAGCGCTCGAAAAGATCGGGACCGTCATCAGTTCGGAACTTTCACTGCGGCGCCAGAGAAGAGGCACTCCGCGCGTCTGTTTCTCCGGTTAAATCCATATATAGGGACATATGTCAGGGGAACGTACACGCACTCTATATTGGGGACACGCCACCCTGACCTGCGGTAGTAAACGCGGACGAGCGTGCGAGCGTGAGGGAGCGTCCAAAAATAGGGGTGCTTCAGTCCCCGAGGGATCAATGGGCACGCCAGTTGCACCGTAATTTTAAACACCTCGACAAACGTCGCTAATTGAATCTGCCGGCTTGTGAAACGCGTCCTTTCCCTTCAAAAGAACGGCGAGCGCTTAACGGCCTGCGGGCATTAAAACGATAAGCCTGAACGTTTCAACAGGCATCGTCGAACGTGAGATAAAAGCTGAATCGAGGAAATGCGGGACGGTACTAATGAACTTTCGCAGCTAAGCAGGTCGTACTACATTTAAAGAAATTAATTTACTGGCTCGTATTTGCTGAGAACGCTTCGCATACTTAAACTCACAATCCAGAATGTATTCAACACACAAACGCAAAACTTGACAAGAATTTCAGATGCTCGGCCATAATTTGTGTAATTTATTTCTTCGTCATTACGTGCCGTTAAATAAAGTGATATTGAATTAGCGATCTGTCCAAAAATTATTCCGCCTATTCTACCCTTTGTCGTAATATGCCGGTCGTCATCTGCCTCTCGTTAGACATTTTTCTCACGCGCGAGATGTACACGATTAGCTCAAACTCACCCTTCCGCTGGTCCTCGCTGTCGGAGTGGAGCTCCACGTCGTGCAACCTCATGGATTGTACGAATCCTCGCCAGTGACTACGCGAGCGTTCCCTCCCGCCAAGATCGCTCTTCAGGTTCGCCAGCTGCTGGTCGGACTCCTTCAAGAGCCCGTCCAGAATATCCGGTCTTTCCAGATTAGAACTGGCCTTAGAATTCTCCTCCGCGCTCGCTCCTCCGTTCGACGAGTCCTCCCTACGATCGGGATCACGGACACCTCGGTCCTCCGACGCGCGACGCCCATCTGTGGAGTAATCCGCGTCTCTCCAGCCCCGACTCTTCGAATTCCTCCTCCTGCGGGCGGGAGGACGCGGCTGATCCTCCGAACGCGCATCTTCCTTCTGCTTTTGCTTGTCTTTAGGGTCTTTTTCCGGAATCTCATGAAGGATCCTACTCCACACCTTCCCGTTCGTGTTCCTGCTCGACATCTTATTGGACATGTTTTTCGGATTGTTACACCGATCCTTCAGCGACTCTCGATTGCTCCTGGACGCCTCTAGAAGCTTCTGCGCCAGCAATCGAGTCCTGTTGATCTCCGCACCGGGCTTCCTCTCTTCCTTCTCCGAATCGCTCCTGATCCTCTTGTCGTTGCTGTTCCTGTTCGCCATCCTAGACGAAGAATCCGTCGACTGAAACATCTGCTGGATCTTGAAGATGTCCGACCGGATCTTGGCCGAGGTCGGTGCGTCGTTCCTCTTATTCGAGATCGTCAGCATTAATTCGGTTCTCTGCGAAGGGCCCCTGTGACTCCGCTGGATCGGTGGAGTGTTTCTTAGTCTCTCCAAGTCCCTCAGGTCCGCCAGGAGGGAATTATGAGTCCTCGATACCCTAGCGTTGCCATCATCGAGACCCGTAGCAACGCTGCGCGGTCGACCCCTCGAGTCTGGCTTGCCGATCTTGTCGATCGGCGTCAGCGATTGATCCAGGAAGACAGTCTCGCGGATCTGACTGATGTTGCGCAGCTTCGGTGCGCCGATTTTCATGCCGGTGGTCCTCATGATTACCTTCTCGACCGACTCGATATCCCGCTCGCGTCCTAATCGCCTCTCCTCGATCAGCCGCGCCCGATTGACGTCGATCGGCGACGCGAATGAATTGTGATAAATCGGGCCCTTCGCGGACGTGACGGCCCGCGAATTCGACCCGGGATTGGCGGATCTGCTGCTGCGCAGAGGAGACACCCGGACCAGCTTCGGCGCATCCCTGGGATCGTCCGTCTGCAAACTGCCTCGGTAAACCATCTTCCCTTCGTCTATTTCCGTCGGTTCTTTTTGTCACCAGAAAGAGCGAAGATTATTCAGAAGGTTGTTCATCTGAAAATTTGAATATAACTGAAGTTTGGCATCGAGTAACTCAAGAGAAAAAGAACAGAACAGCTATCTAACAAGATAAAATATGAAAAGCGCAAGTATATCGAGAGGGGCAAAAACATTCTCGAGATAAATACATTATAATAATAGACTCTTAGATTATGTATACCGGTTGTTCCTATCGTCTCCAAAGCAGTTGTTACCGTCACAAAGACGGAACGAGATTCCAATACGCCGCCAGATATAAATGAACGCCGTCTCGAGACGCATAAAAGATACGATTACGGCAAAAGACTTGACTATAACGTCGCTCGAGATCGTTATTAAATCGTAAAACAAAATGCGCCATTAAAATGTGTCCTCGAGATTGTAATAATGACTCTCGGGGCAACTAAGATCAAATCTCCGTCAGCAGGATTGTCAATTATTGCGTAGGTAACGGAAGGGTTAAATAGAGCTATAAAAGCAGAATGTCGTTTGCAACGACCCGCCGCTCGCTAAATGATAGCCCTGGTCGCCGATCGATACGCAATGATTTAGCTCGCCACTATGGAATTAGTAATGGCTTGCACGTCGACGTTAATCTATGCAAATTACAGCGGTGAAACTCTGACGCCGTTATGGAACAAAGCTCACGCCCGACCGGACACGTTGATGTAATTCTGGTAGTTTAAGCAAGAAAATAAAATTAAATTAAACTTCCGCCGCAAAACGAGCTCGAAAACGCTTAATTCACTGTTGGACACGGCAAGAGATCTTTCAAATCGAACGGTTTCAAGGTGATTAAATTATCGAAGAGGAAAATATATTAACTCGTAAAGAATTAATGAACACGTTTATTCTAGCAAATTGGTTCTTCCCCTTCGCAATCTTTTTATCTTCTTTTCAATTTACGCTCTTTTTCTAAACAATATAAGGCCGCGGGAGAATTCACGCTCTTTCCTGATTAAAATCTCACGAAATTTTTACGAAACGCCGCGACAGCCTCCAAAACGTGCTTCTTCGTTAAGAAAACAGAAAGAGAAAGGTCGATTCTTACTGCCTGTCGCGCACACGCGCATTGCCAGCGAGTTAATTTGATTCGCAAGACCGTCCGATTTTTGAGTCCCGTTCGTTAATTCACTTTGCACAACGCCCGCCGCTCGATCCTCGCGGCAGACTTATACGGCGATGAGAAAAACACCGGGCGGCTTTTACCGCAAACCCGCCGCGCTCGCCTTGCGCGCGTCACCACGTCGACACGGCTCACGCAAGGTCGTTCGAATATCGCCGACCACGCTGGAAATCGCCGTCTCGGGCGAGATAGCGCTTCGCCGGGAAACGCGCGGCGAGTCGCCGAGTCTATAATCGACGGGAACGTGTCACGAATCTCCGGAGGAAACCGGCACGAGTCGGTAGCTGCGGCTCATGTGGGTGTCGCGCAACGCGACGCAACGCAACGGAACGCAATGCACGTGGGCCGTGACACCCGGTCGCACACGCGTTTTGCAACAGGCACCTCGCGCTCGTCTCCGCGCGCGCGTGGGTGTCGCGCACCGCGATCGTCCGAAGCGACAGACGCGCTGCATTCTAATTCGTGCGATCGTACTCGCGATCGAGGGTTGACAGCCGCATCTCTCTCTCTCTCTCTCTCCTTCTTTCTCTCGCAGCCATAAATGGCCAGCGAGAGCGACCGGCATTGCCTCCTGCGATCAAGACAGATCGATCATCGCCATTATCGACGATTACTATGTGGATACCGTCGTCCGTGATATAAGTATGACGTAACGACTAGACTTTGTTTTGTCTCTTTGCACGCTACGTCAGCCTCGGGGCCCGCGAGTGGAAGCCTGTCCGTAGCTCGCGATATTCTTCGTTTCAAATTGTCAATAATGCAATAAAGGTAATATCTAACGGACCGTTAATTCGAGATGATAAGATCTACGGTTCGTGTACCTGTTACGTGACACGATACTTACGTATGCTAATGAAATAGTTGCAGCTCGCCGGCGCGGAGCACACGGTCCCGCTAGGTATAATTAGACTGTATTACGATAAATCGCGCGAGTTAACGAAGAAAACAAAAGCGCGAAACTTTCCGAGACGTTTCACGGTAACGGACGTAATTAGGCATAGTATGCCTCGTGATTCAGATTAAACACCAGCTTGTTGTACCGTTGGGCTTGTTTCGAATTCATTATTAATTGGTAGCGACAAGCCTAATCGCCAACACGATCGCTTACTTTAAGTCATCCCGACGACGTTTCCTAGACTCAGGAATTTATGTTTTCAACAGCTTTGAACTTATTCCTGTGGAACCGATGACACGATTGTAATTCTGATTAATTCTGTGTGAGCTCGTTTTTACCACCTGTTAAGTCTAATCTTAAAGTAAAAGAATTGCAGGAAGACAAGTCTTCGGAAGAATTTACATTTAAAATTTCTTCTGTTTTCTTATAAAATTCGCGGCACTTTCTACTTTGTTTTTATATAACGCGACACTAAAACGTCAATCGATTTCTTTCCTGACTCTCTGCAATCAGATCTTTTCTTACAAAAAATTATTCAACCGGTAAACAGAAAACATTGATTAAATTATGAAAATTTAAGAACTGTAGATACGCGACTAAGTTGTATGACGTTATACGAGTCAATGCAATTGCAAAGAGATTTCTTTCAAAGTTTGCTTTCTTCCTTCACGAAAGTGGACTAGTTGGCTCGCGTTCTGCTCTCAGCCGAAAGTTGTATGCACATGCAAATTGAGCGGAGACAAGAGTCGCTAATGAAGCGGAAAAGATTGAAAGTTTTATTTTATTTCCCATCCGCAAGTCGCGTTTGGCATTTATCCCGGGCAATCGTGTCCACTTTAACATGTCCAAACAATCATCATTGCCGCCGATGCGCCTAAATCCGCGAATCCGTCACGCTGTGCCAGGCTCGCTCGCACCGAAGAAACGAATAAACGCGCAGACTTCGCACGCACGTAACGGAGTAAACGTCGTTTCCCGTGCTCGAGACTCGGCCAAGAAAAATTCGAAATCGTCCATCATACGTCAACGCTTCTTACACTTCCGGCAGCGCGCGCGTTCACGCGCGATAGAAAGACGTAAAGAGATAGAAGGAACGAGCAAGTGATTACTCGCATTTACCTATTTTATTTATCGTGCGATTCGTCTCGTGAGAGGCTCAAAATGTGGTCGAATGGACGAATCGTCCCTCTTTCTTCTCGTCACCGCGAGATTCGATAACGGGAAACTCCTGCTCGCTGCTCACGGCTGGTCTCTCTCGTTAGGTCTGCAACAAGAAAATTCATACATTTTCCATTAGAACGCCATCACGAAAGGATTATTTTACGGCTTTCCACGCGCATACAGCGGAGCGTTGCTCTCATTCTCGCCGCTCTTTGTCGATCGAGTAGGCCGACGGCGTTGCCCGCGACCACGTCTAAGTGGACCAGTCCGTGAATATGTTAGAGTAAAGAGCTATCTCGATAATTCAAATAAGATTCAGTTGCATTGACGCTGACCCAATTGTGCCACGGTCTCTATAAGGCGCGCAAAGTCCTCCAACCCCCGAGAACAATGAGAGAATACGCGGATTAAAAGCAACCTGAGATAAATGTAATAAGAAATAACCCAGTGAGAAATAATTCGTCGATTCGACATTAAGGTAGTTATTTCGTAAAATCATTTATGTAAGTTGTTTCAAATCTTTACAGTTTATTCTTTACATTAATACGTGCAGAATAAGACTAATTAAATAAAAATTGACCGTCTCAAAGTTCTAAAAAAAAGAAGTCAAAGTTTGCTATGTTACACGAAATATTACGTGTAAAACACGTTAAAAATATTACACGTAAAAATATAATTTGTTGTAATATTATTACACGTGAAATATTATTTACACATACTATTATGTGTTAAAATATTAATCTTTGCGTTTGCAAACGCAAATGATGGTACATTTTATTTTTTTAAGGAAAAAAAGTACAATTATTGACCGTTCCGTTTCAACAATGTAAACAGTTAAAACTGAAAAATGAGAAGAATTATGTAGTAGACATGAGTGTAGTGTAAGAGATGTGGTAACAGCACCTCAAACTATAATCTTTCGAATCTATTTTATAATATGTATTAATCGTAAGTGTATTCTTTAGAACAATATTGCATTAAGACATATTATTGTAATAATTGAGTGCTGGTTCCTGTCTGGAAGAAACTTTTGAGCATTACTGTCGCAAAACAACTACCTTAAGAATAAGAACAAGTGTCCATAGGCAAAAGGTTCTATTTCTTCACATTCGATTTTGGTCACAAAGCAGGTACCAAACGAAAGGTCTCGTCCAGCTATTATAGATATATCAGTCTCAGACTGTACCTGTTCAACGTTCCAGAGATATCGGGCTCCAAAGGTTCCATTCCATTCCAAACAAATGGTTGATGTCTGTCCAAACGGTTTTATCGCTTACGTCCGGGGAATTTTTGGAGCCCGATATCTCTGGAACGTTAAATAGGTACACTCTGAGACTGACATATCTGCGATCATCCCGACGAGACCTTTCGTTTGGTACATACTTTGTGACCAAAATTGAGTGCGAAAAACATGAGGCCGATCTTGTTCTCACTCTTTGACGGTGTCGATGTCGATTCGACATCATTTCGACATCGATTGTCGAGTCATTTCTCGCTGAGAAATAATATAAAAACAGGATACATGTACATTGTTTGTACATTATTCGTTTCTCCTTACGTTTATCTCCTGGATATTACTTGCAGAAAGAAGAGAAGTATTGTCTATTATTAATTGCCAGCAGTGGAGGAAAGTTCCCTATTATGAAATAGGCTCCTACTATGAGATGGCGGAGTTTCGGTTAAATTAATAGGCATCATCTATTGATTCCATCGTGAATTTATTGGAGTGAAATCTGTTTAGTGGAAAATTGATTGTTGAATCGTGAAATCGTTGCGAAAAAAGATTTGCGATTGAGCTTGGACGTTGAAAACCTGCTATCTCGTATTAGAATCCCGTCTCATAATAGAGGACTTTCCTCTAATATTTCTATTTGGCTGGAGGAAGCATGTGGCGCAAATGCATGCCCGCTTATTCAGAAGCAGGAGATTGCTGCAAACTTTTTTTTCGCAATTCTCGTATCGCCTAACCGAGAGAGCAATTTCTCGAGATGTCTACATTTAACCGGCGTGTCTAATAATCGCGCACGCGGAATTATTCCCTTCGCACTTTGATTACGTCGGCGCGGGGCATAATGCGGATCGCATCTCCGTCAATCTCCGTGTGAAACTTAGCGGATCGACTTCCTCTCCGCGAATCATAGCTATTCCAAACGGACTGCGAGTGATCCAATTTCGCGTAAGTGGATGAGAACTGACGGCGAACCGTTCCCGTCGTCGCATTCTGCGTCGGTTAGCCGTGCAACAGCGAACCGTCCCAGAAAGTCTTGGAGCGCCTTGCGCTCTGCCCCCGACATTTATCCGCTACCGAAGTCGCTTCTTACGGGAGAGTGATGTAACCAAGTCGACATAATTTGCCCCGTGCAACACAACTCGTCGCTATCTATTTAAAGGCCACCGTCTGTACGAAAAGAAAAATGACGTTGTGTCAACAATATCTAGTGTAATTGAAATAAAATCGTTGAAAGAATGACTGAAACACATCAAATTGTCTTAATCTGGATATTTAGTTCAATGCTTAAAATTAAAGTCCATAGCAAATACAATTGGGCGAATTATTTATGTTTGTAGCAGTCCGCGGCATCTCAACATTTAATCCAAGCAACTTAATTTTTTTTCTGCGTGTGAATCGATACGAATCGAAACAAGATGAATCTCTAGCTATTTAACTAAAAAATGTCCAACGTCCCTTCAAAAATTTACCTTGATTTGTCATCGATTCGTGACGATCTACGGCGTATCTTCCGCGAGACAAAAGAATGCCGCGCGACTCATCTTTACCTTACCTGCGCGCACGCGGCTGAATGTCGCGAACTAATTAATTATCAGTTGCGTAACTTTCCGCGTCGACGGCGAGAACGATCATAACGGTTTAATTAAAATTTCTGATCGCATCTACGGTATATTACAGCGCGCGCCTCGCGCGGACCGCTCCACGCTTCGGAAGCCGCCGGGCCCGACTTCCGTGAGTAACAACGGCTGATTTACAAGTCCGCACGCTTTTTACCTCGCCTGCAATCTCGTCCTTAACCACTAATTTGTTGCGTACTTTTTTTTCCCCCGCCATAACGGAGCGCGAGCGGAGATCGTTACGGCGTTCGTGAGATCGGTGAATCCGCGGATCGATGATTGATTTGGAAATCTCGTCGTGCTGACTTTCGAATCCCTAAACGGTCCGCGCGGTCCGACTACTTCCGCTTCTACCGAGCCTTCCGATTACACGGAATCGCCGCGTTACGTTTAATTACCGTTCGATCATTATTCCTGTGCTTTCTTCAGCGCGAATTATTATTTTATCGGTTTCACTATACGTCCGGTTTCTCTTTCACCCGTTGACCGTCAAGTCTTGCGCGCGCCACAAAAAGACGGACGCGCCGATGCATCGCGCCGATAGCACGCATAAATTTACTCTCTTTCGACAATTAGCTTCTCCTCCATTCGTGATAAATGGCCCAAGCGAGCGCGAACCGCAGACGCCAGGAATGCTCTTCCTCCTACGTGCATAATACAATTAGTTCCGACTGAAATTTCGCTAATTAGCTTCTAATTACCTTCACGACACCCGAGTGATCCTAAGATCGTGAGTCACCGATTTTCCGGCTCGGTGTCCGGGAACGTGGATCGCTCAGCCGCAGCTGCGCTCCTTCCTTTCCTCTTATCTTCCCGGACTCGGGTGTCTGCTGCCCGCGTTCGGATATACGCGATAGCACTGTTTAAGGACTTTCGGCACGCGTGCGGAGGAAGAGAGCGCGAAATCGACAAGGGGGGCTCGCGGAACTTTATCGACGAGAACGTTTCACGGTATCGCGCGCTGTCATAATTAGCACGGAACCGGGCTTTTCACATTTTCGCGCACACGGCCGCGCCGGACACGCGCCGAATCGCGCCTCCGAAAGTGCGCGCGGAGTGCTCTCGCACTCGAACGGGGCTGGTTCCTGCGACGCAATTCCTTTTACCGGCGATATCTACCGATATCTCGTAAACACGCCTTGTCCCGTGTGGTATCTTCAGATCAGAATTACATTAAATGGAATGACGCACACGTTTCACGTGGCACTCGCTCTTTTAGTTCTCTTCTCCTTACTTTAGTGTCACCTTATCATCTGCATATATTACACTTCCCTTTTAAACATTCCTGTTTTTTACAAATTTTACCGCGACTTTTTGTGATTTACAACACGATTTCAGTTCCTGTCTCTCACCTCTTCAGTGAGCACAATCCGTTCAGAAAATATCCTCCGAAGCTTCCAACACATCCAGCATATTTTTTAAGTGTCTTCAATATTTTCTCCCTTTTTTTAAAATACAACTTGATGTTACTCCTCGCACTTGTCCGGTCAACTCCGTCTTCTCGCCTCAGCCTTCGACCTCCTCGGTGGGCTTATCTTCCGGAGTTCGCTGCACTCCTCGGTCGCGCGGCTCGCGTGCATGCACCACTCGCGGAGAGACCGTCTGCGGCCGCGACCGCACCATGTGCCCCCGTGCCGTGAGAAGCACTGAATGGGTTCGCCAGACACGAAACATAATCGTGTCTACGGCAGGCGGATAGGCAGCCCGTAGGTACACTACAGCTCTTTTCCTTTCCATTCCATTCCGCCGCGGCGGTGGGGCACCATCGGCTCTCCGTGCCCCCACTGTGCGTACGGACACGTACGTACGCAGCCCACACCCACGCGGCACCCGGTATACGTGGGTCGCCTCCGCCAACGTTGGCGGGAGAGACAGGGGTGAGGAGGGAGAGAGAGATTCGAGCGGATTTATTCCGCTCCGTTAATGTAAAGTGGATGCGAGAATGACCGAGTACCGTGAGGGACCAATATTAATCGTGAGAAATTCCGATTATTATGATAAAAGTAAAAATCGCAAGTACAAATGGCATTAACGACGCGGAGGAATGTAAGAGCGAGCGAGGAAAAGTGAGGAATCTTCCTCGGAGACGGAGAGGAGTCTGTTGCATGCGAGGGTCCCGACGATCGCCTATTTTGGGCGAAAACGTGTTACGGCAATTAAACGCTTTTACGACCGGTCATTTCGCAATGTTACCTGAATTACGACGTTGATCGAGCGATACATTGGTTCTTTCGGTTTTGACATTGATCAAACAGAACGTTGGCTGGACATCGCGTCGCGCGTGACAAATGAAGAGTTTAACGAGGACAACAAGTAGCGAGCACAGATATTAATCGATCCCAAAAAAAAAAACGTTGCGCAGTATCTACGATCTGAATGAGAATTAAACACTTGTTTGCTTTCGTGATATAATCTCGAGGCTGGAATTATCGGACAAATTAAGCACGAGAAGCATTCGTTGCATTTACTTTTAATTATCAGCGTGATATTTATATTAGCGTGTAATGTTTAATCAGTAAACTAATAATACCGCACCATTAAATACTTAATAATTAATAGCGTAATACCTGCATCATGTTCTATTAGTGTGATTTAATTATTGCTTTCCTGCCGCGTAACTGCACATATTACGTCAATTATCTACGACCTACTAACCGAATCGTTTCGCTGAGGTTGGCGAAAAGAAAAATTGATACGCTTACGATGCAGATTATCTGCGAGGGACTAATCAAGTTATCAGACGCTCTTTTATCTCTAATAGGACGGCTAAACAATTCCCGATAATGCTCGCGGCATATCGGGGACAACGACCCGCGTTCTTATTGGATTCACTATTTTTATCCACGTCGTGGATGATCGCTGTTGCTTCCTCTAAAAATCGCATAACTTCAGCAGGCCTACAGAACGAGCGGCAGCAATTCTAAATAATATTTTTCGAGAGCCACGGGTTAGCAAGAAGTTCCTTTAGTTATCGCATTTTACGTTTACGTATACATAATGTTTCACTTACTTGGTCTTCCTTTAGCCGAAGACAAATGACCCAGCGTGTAGCTAACACCTTCCTACGCCCGCGGACACGATAATGAGCTTCGCGGTAGCGGATTTACTGAAGAAGTCGTAAGCTTCTCATCTCGTCCGACGCAAATTATTACCTTCGCTGAAACAGAAATGCTATTGTAATAATTAGTACTAGGCTACCTTGGATATGTACTTCGAAATTAGTTGAGTGTGTATGAATTCCGTGATAAAGCTTTCGCAAGGATCAACCTTGGCTGTGAGAATGAAAAGGACACTAAATCTTTGCAACTACAGAGCAGCATTCTATACTGAACAATTTCAGTTTTTAGCAGTTGAAATTATCGTGAGTCGCAATGAAGAAATAATTTCAACCTAGCTAGTGTCTTGATTTTTGGACGTACAGATTTCGTGTGTGAATCGCGCGCGAGGTATCTGTCTTGCCGGTTAACCGAGCATCGATAGCTAATCACGAGGATTCAGCGATCGCGGTTTCTTCCTGTAACTTGTCACGGACGCGTATCAAGAAGAAATAATATGCGGAGCGGCGCGGGCCGCTAACCGACCTGTTCGACTGTCGCCACGTGAATGGTAGGCACAATGAGAATAGACTGTTTTCGACCGAAGTGCTCACAGCGCTACGTCATTTCTCGGAACCGGGGTTCGACGCCCGAAATTCCAAGAATTTCTACGATTGATAAACCTCAATAATCGACGAAATCTTAAACAGAGTGCATTACGAACGTCCGTAATTAATTGGAAGAGCTACCCAATGGCTGTTCATGTAATATTCGACGAGATATTGAAACATCGATAAAATATCAATGTAAAGTGTCTTTGTTTTATTTATGTAGTTTCTATATTCAACAAAAATCCCTTTAACTATAAAAATATCTTAATTCTAAAGTATCTATATTATTAAATCCTAACGAGAAAGCGATCGTATTTACTTAACGCAAAAGAATCGTCAATGCTATCGAAATTCTAAGATAACATTGCGCGACTTTACGACTTTATTTTTCGGGCGAGGCTCCATCCGTTGTCATCATCGCGATTGTTTCCTTCGCAACAATCGTCATTACCAGGCATTATTGTTTCCTGGTTCGCAATTATTGTTATTGTTACGACTGACTGCAGCAATAGTCTTTCTCTCTTGTCGCCGCGACGTAATGGCGTTCTGGACAAGCCCAGAGATGACACAACGCGCCAACAATGGCTACTGCGTGCGACAACAAGAGAGAGGCCGGTCGAGGAAACTTGTTTTCCTCCTGAAACGGCAGTCGTCGATCCTCGCGAACGATAATAGACAATCGTGTCTGCAGAATGCACTTCGAGGCCGTCCGATCGCGCGAAGATGCATCATCAAATTGTCCCGCACCGCAGTCGCATTCACCATTCATCGAGTTTTTCTTTTTCTTATCAAATTGCTTCTCTGAAAATACAGCAAGGACGCTGTATAACCCGACAAAGCTTATTTTTCATTCTTTTTTTCTACCTTAAATTAAAATTAGAAAGCGAATTTGTGAACTGAGAAAAGTGACTTACAATTAGAAATATTTGAAGTGGCAAGTAAAAAATTAGCCTGAGTCTAATACAAACTACGATATTGGTGAAGAGAAAAACTAATATTGAAATTACAAATATTCGTTTCCAGTATGTCGTACTTTTTGTTGTGTCACGTCGCGTACGGTTCTCCTTACGGTTGCAGTCAAGGCCATTGCGGTCGCACGTCTGCACTGAGCGAAATTACATCTGACAAGAAAAAACACTTCATCTTACTGTAAAACGTTACCCTGCATTTCGACATTAGTGTTCTCGAAACAACTGAATAGGAAAATCTCATCAAGCACCTCAACGTATTTGTTTTTCAGTCTTTATAGAAATCTCACGTTCCTCAACGGGGAAAGAAAATTACAACGACACCGCGATAAGTACTAATGCGTTTTACGAGAAAAACATTTGATAAATTACTTATTCTTTCCATAATAGCAATTTAATGGAGTCGATCCGGTAATAGAAGAAGCGCTCCCGATTGCTGTCACGCTATAGCCATCGCGTGCTAGTCGCAATTAATTCGTCGTTGATTGGTACCTGCGAAGATGCGTTCATTCCCGTAATTGATGATGATCAATGCCGTCGCTGCCTAGCATCGATGCAACGGTAAAGGCGACTCACGTTCTACATGTACTTATACTGAAGCGATTCCTGGCTGCAGGACGACTGTGGACTGTCGAGATTGATGCGTACGTGCAGGTTTTTCTAATGAGCCAAAGGTCACTTCCGGTCAAACAGAAAGCGGAAACGTAAGCGCGTGCTCGCTCGCATCCGTTGCGCCCGCAGGCAAAGCTATGCCACCTGAGTTGCGTATCGAATCGACTGCAGCAAGAAACTGTGAGCTGCGGATGCAAACTTCCGCTTGCCGGTAATATTGACAGCGTTACATTAAGGATTGTTAAGGTCGACGAATCAATGTAATAGGTGGAACAATAATTTATGTGGACATAAATTATTACAACTATTTCAAATAACAGTTTATAGTTCAAAGTATTAATAATTAATTCTCTTTCTAGTAATGCAAATTTTAGATATATTATATAACTACATATAATAAGGATTGTATAATATAATGTTAATATTATTATTAATTATCGCTTTACAATTCTAATCGCTTTTGTTCAATTATAATTTACTTTTTTAATATTCTATTAATTTAATCATTATACGTGTGTTAATTGTACTTATTTATGTAATATTTAATATTGAACTTGTTAAATAAATTGATAAACACAGATTATATAATATTACAAATATTATTTTACCAACAGTTCTTTGAACAGCTAGTACTCTTATACCTAGTATTTAGACTTTTTTTAAGGCCAATATCCGATCGGTCTCGTGTTATAAAATCCTTGCAATTTTAAATCTTTCTCGTTGGCCCCTTTTCGTTTATTCCTTACACCAAGATTAGGACTCAATTTTCTAACGGATAATCTATTATTCTCAGATCGAGTTTTAAATGAATAATGTACTTTCTCAATTATTAAAATAAGTAGTGCCAGAATCATACTGCCTGCCACCATCGTTAGAGTTGGTGCTACATCGCTTAAATCGACCAGACCGTAAATAATACTGCTCGGAGAATTAGTTCTTATCAAATATTTGTTCTTCAACTTGCTCATAATGCCGTTCAGCTGAAATTGCCGCAAGCTGGAAAATGTTGAAAGACATTTAAAACATTTATTCGTGAAAAGGAAAACATAATCGTAAATAATTTAATCTGAACATAATTTCTTGTAATTGAATGACTTCAGCAATATTAAAATTGAATGATATTCTCGTCTTCTTAAAATATTTAGCAAATATTCATTATACAAGATATAAAATTTCTACTTGAAAAATGTCTGCTTTAAAAATTAAGAATAACATTTTTAGCATTAGTGATATTAATAAAATTTATCAATCTCAATAAATTCAACAGTCTCCATTAAATAATAAAATGTGTCTTTTTAAGTAAATATGTATACGTATTTAGGACTTACTGATAATTCATGAAGCTGGTGTAAGGACTTCCTTTTGATAGAGCCATCGCCATGTTGTCGATTCTTCCAGTATCGATATACACGACCCTACATTGTATATAAGTGTTTATAGCCCCTTTGAACACCTCCGTCGTATAAAATGCCAACTTGTTTCTCTCGCAGATCTGTAGGATGGAAGAATGGACATGAGAATTGACGACTTAACGAAACTTAACGTGATTTCATTAATTTTATTTAATTGAGTGATGTGTATTGCTAACTTGCTTGAATCCTTCTGACAATGATATCGGTAAATGCGTCTTTTCTTCCAGCAATTCGTACATTTTCAGAAACACGGGGTCCTTGACACGCTGTAAAATTCGCGAAAGCACAATTTAAATAAAGATTGTTTTTCTTCCAGTTATATGTATAGTTGGAATGGGATGTCTTCTTTACAAACTTTCGCGAATCCTGACATTATACAAAAAAGAGAACGAAAAAGTATATTGAAATAATCAAATTCAAGAATATTACTGAACTGCTAAGACCTGCTTGTGTCGTGTAATGTTAATGCTTTCACAATTTCCGGCTGCAATAACGAGACTACTTTTATCGATTACTTCAATTAAAATTTCTGCGCAAACTTACAGAAGGAATGTCGTACTCGGCGCTGTTTTTCATAACGATTAATTTGTAAGAGCCATCCTTAACATAACCCTCCAGAGTGGAAAAGGGCAGTTTTGGCGTACCGAGCGCCAGGAAGCTGATCAACGAGGCGGAATAGACGGCCAGAATTATTATCGACGATGTGTAAATCGAGAGAAAAGCCAGCCTCATCGGTGACTCCCTAGGAAATTCTATGCATAAAATATACATGTATTCCGGCGCTAATGCATATAAAGCAAATATTGATATATCTATGCATTAATTGCGTAAAACTCATAATACGAAAAAAAAATTGACAATTAGGCAAATATTAAATATCTCTAGTAAACGTTACCTGACAAACCCTGCTGGCAATAAATGCCCCAAACATTAATGTAGTTTTCGGACATTGAGCTCATCGAGAAGTAGCCTTTCGTCTTCATAATAGTCAACAGAATGGAAGCGATTATTATTATCACTGCTAATGTTATCCAAATTCCGGGGCTGAATGCCTGAAAGATCGGTGAAAGAAAGCAACAATTTATTCTATTTGTTATCGTGAATCTTCACAGCCGCATAAGCTATCTTAATACTATTTCTCTTCCCAGAGATAATTAAAGGATCTTAGATAATTGTATTTTTAAGTTAAGACAGAATAATTATAACGTCTTTGTGCAATTTTGTAGCATAAATATCAACGTACGTACATCTAATATATTAATTAATGTATATCTGCTACTAATACTAATGAATAGTAGATATTAATATGCTATAACTAGAAAGCTAATTATTACCCTTAAATACAAGGACCATTCCACGTCGGGGTTGTTGGGCTCTTTAAAATAAAGGCGGTATCGCGAGCGTATCAGTGGCACCGTAAAGTCGATGACTTCTTGTCTGCGAGTGGTTATCGTGAACGCGGAGACACCGACATCGGCTTCGTTGGCCACCAACTGGCCGATCGCATCTGTCCACACCTTTTTCTCCCGACTCCAGCAGCCGAATCCCTCCACCGGGTCCAAAATCTTCACAGTAAAGTTCATCACTTTGCTGAGCTCCATCAGCAGCAGACCGAAAAACCCGCTGATCGTACCGTTCTTCAGCGAGATCAGCGGCGAGTCCTTCATTTATCAACAGAATTATCAAGTCAATCTACGAGTCTGCGAATCATCATTAAGCTCTAATATGGATTCCGTGGCAAATTGCGAGACTTCTTTTTTCCAAGACAATTCATTTTCCGATTCGCAAGAAGAGCAGCGTACAACGGACCTCGAAGAAGAACTAAACACTTACGTTCACGGACGTGACGCGCACAACATCGCCGAACATGTTGCTCCTCCTGGCGTAGAAGGTTCTTCGCGTCTTCAAAAGCAGACCTCTCTCGGGGGACCACGAGGCCAGGTCAAATGTTCTGGTGCGATTGTCGCGAATGGCGTACCATTCGACTAGAATCGGACGGGCATAGCACAGAACCAGCATCTGGGTGTTGAAGTCCACGTTGAATACGTTATAAGTAGGGTATCCGCAATACTGCTCGAGGGGATTCCCAGGACGCTGAAGAAACACGACGAGCCAAATGGGGAAGGAGATGGGTTTAATGCTCCTCGTGGTCTCGGAGAACTCGTTCATGGTTTCCGCGGTGTCGAGAAGAACGACAAACAACGGCCGCATGACATTCTTCCGGTACTCTTTGTACTCGTTCGTCAGGTCCGAGAAAGTTATGGCCACGGTCATGACTCGTTGCCGTGAGAATTCGCGCGACCACGTGTGCACCAGTGTCGTCGCGTTCAAATCTGCGATATCCGCGTCGAAGATGGCATTACGTTTTACTTATAGCAATTAGTGTTGTCAGAATGAAATGTTCTTCATATCATAACCGAGATCATGATATTTAATTTCTCCAAAGATGAAAGTTAGACGAAAGCAATTAATCTTTCGTGCCTAATTACATTTGAATGTAAATCTATAATCACAGCTAGATGAAGAAAGAAAGAATTAGAAAAAAAAATCGAAAACATCGCGGAAACTTTCTGCTAACCAGTTGACTGAAGGTGCAGCGTGAGAAATGCGAGCCGGAAACTATTCCCGGTACTTACCGTAATTGCAAGACCGTACGAAAATAACACACGACGTGCGATAATATCTGTGGACGTCGCTGATCAGTCGGAAATAATTGTTAATGCTAACACTCTCTGTCAGGGATTTGGTGCCCAACACGAGAAAAAGAATTGCTATCGATCGCGCTGTCGTGCATGCCATTTTGCGAAATGCAGATTGGAGACGACAACCCGAACTACTATGTAAAAAAAATTAAAATCGATTTCGTCCAGTTGGACACTGTTACGATAAATAATTAACGTTTAATTCGCCGCGAGGAATTATCCCTTGTGTGAATTAAATGGACAGGCGAGACTGAAGAGAGACACAAGAAGAAATCGAAATCTCAAATCCTTAACTTAACAAAATCCTACTGAAGACAACGGAGTCCTTTATCGAAAAACGTGGCCATCACAACTTGAGGGTTAAAGAAAGGAATGAGGGTACTGCGTTCAAGGGTGCGAACGCGTGACTGAAGGGCGATCATCGCGAACGGGAGTTTATCAGATCCGAGAATCTAGGGGTGCGCGCGAAAGAGTGTCACCGATTGATGTGGATGTGCGGCAGCATTATTACAAATTACATGGAGATACGTGATGGTACGATTGTTATCGGCGAATCATCGGCCAAATCGATGAGTTATTCGCCGTCATTAAGCTCCCCGTACCCGACATTACTCATCCGCGCTTCGCCCACAATGCCACTATTTCAGATATGTCGACGTGTCTTAGGCTCTAACTCGACGTATAAAGATGGGTGCAAATTTAAACGTGCGAATCTCGCAAGAGAAAGAGCAGCGGGAAAGGAAACCTGACAGCGACAGTTTGATATAACATTTAACTTAATTTCTTCTGTGTACCTTACGTGATTGTGTCAATTGAATGGCTTTTAACAGGAATACTGAAAAATAGAAGAAAGTTTTACTCTTCTCGTGCTAGAAAGACATTTTTTAATTCTTATTTTATTTCAGTATTAGCACGCTGTAAATATAATAAATATATAATTAATTAATTGTTATAAATCAAACACAATTATATATATACACACACGTCAAATTTCTACCAAGAAGATTTCAGTTAAGTCAAATAAAATTGTAAATTTTCTCTCAATAATTGTGTTTCTTGATAAATGGCTTTCTGGAAGGATAAAAGACTCTCGGCTGAACTTTCCTTCGCCTCGACCGGTAATGAATTTTCTCTATAATCAGCGCCGCGATGCTTATAATAATGCCTCCGCAGAGAATCGCCAAAATTGGAATGACGTTAACCAAACGGACCGGCATGTAAGTCTTCTCCTCGGCGGAATGCGGCAAAAATCTCGTATCCCTCAGACGCATCATCATACCGTTATCCAAAAATTTCTGCAAACTAATAAACGCGATATTTTTGCGGCCGGAAAGTAAGGTTGGGCGATCTGTCGCGGTACCTACTGATAATTTATCACGCCTGTGTACGGATTGTTCTTGGAGAGGATCATTCCTAAGTTGTCTATCCTTTCAGTGCTGATGCTCGACAGTTTACAAGGAATTTTCATCTCTACGCTTCTCTTCAGAGCGCTCAGCACCATGTAAGCAACCTTTCGCTGCTTACATACCTAAATAAATAGCAGATGATTAATTATATAAAGGACTTTTTGCTCTGAAGTAATAATATTAATTCGAAAAAGAAGTAGAGTAGTTTCATGGGAATAAAGATTAGACAACTGCACTGTTAAAATTGATTTCATATTGCACTCGTCTCGAGGTCGTAAAAATACGAATTGTCGATCGTACTTGCACAAAGCCATCAATTAAATTGACCGGCAGTTCCTGTTCGTCCTTCATTAATTTCATCAGTTTCACCGAGAAAGATTTCGTCGGCGCCCCGTACCTCGCCTGAAACTGTCGCGGAAACGTCTTGTAACGCGTAAACTATTCATCACTCGGCGTGCATCAGCGTGAATAAAACCACGTTATAATTCCATATTATCGAATGCAACGATCTGACATAACTTCGATCGTTTCAAAAGGCGTACGAGCAGAAGTGAAAGTACGAGCTCCTTTGATCGCCGGAAAAACTTACGGAGACTACGTCGTAGTCGGCACTGCCGCGTGGAACGATTAATTTATAGCTGCCGTCGTTGACGAATTCGTCTATCGTCTGAAAGGGCAGAACGCGAGTGCACGCCGTTAAAAAGCAGATTAACGCCGCTGAATAGTGAGCCGATATCAGCACCGCCGTCAAAAATATCGTCAGGTACGCAACGCGCAGTGACGATCTTTTCGGAAACTCTGGAGGAAAAAGTTCACTTAAAAGCCCCAGTCAACTTTTGAAAAAGGAGAAAGTACACTGCTCACAAGAAATATGGCATAGAAAAATTTTATGCAAAAATTTTGGTCAACTTTGACTGACGGTAACTCCGCGAAAATTCATCGTAAAATTATGTTCTTTTTTTTTAATTAAAGCTTGAAATCTCTACTTTAAGATACTGTAGTTCTTTTTTGGGTGTGATGCATCCCTACCATTGTAACACCTTAAATGTGAAGGCATGTTTGTTATATTGAAAATTACAAAGGTAGTTGACGGAGTGCATAGACTTGCTACATTTTTTGGGGGGGATACTGTTTGCAGGAACATAGAGTACGAACCTTCCTCTTCAATTTAAAAAAAAAGAAGTCGCTGCCATTTTTTTTTCGTAAGGATACAGTACTTTAAAGTAACCCTTGCATTATTGGCATATACCAGGTTGCCGGTCGGATTTTGCACATCATATGGCCCTGAAAAGAGCCGTATGGGACTCAGTATCACGGATACGTATCATTGGCTGCGGCGTTTTAAAGATAGACATAGCATTACTACTCTTTCGAGCGAGAAGAAACTTTGTAATAAACCCTCAGAGCCAAAAAAGAAAAACAGTACCGAAGATGAGGTTATCGTCATTTTCATCGGCTTTGAGGGTTTATTACAAAGTTTCTTCTCGCTCGAAAGAGTAGTAATGATGGCATTACTATTTCGAGCGAAAAGAAACTTTGCGACAAACCTTCAGAGCCGATGAAAATGAGGATAACCTCATCTTCGGTACAGTTTTTCTTTTTTGGCTCTGAGGATTTATTACAAGTTCCTTTTTGCTCGAAAGAATAATAATGCCATGTCTCTCTTTAAAACGCCGCAGCCGATGATAAGTATCCGTGATACTGAGTCACCATACGTGTTACAAGAGCATTAAACTCCGATTTCAACTAGTGCTGTTGTACATAAATGTACATTTATGTACCAGGTGATGCCGAGGTCTCCGCTTTCCCCACCGTTCTCATTCTGTCAGAGAGGATGGAGGGCGAGTCCCACTTGGGGGGGGGGGGGGAGATTCGACTTGGTGGCATCCCCGAAAATTTCCGGGGCATGCGCACCCTGTGGACACCGTCCACCTTCTTCCGAATCTGCATTCGGATCCCCGAGAAAAACCCCCCCCAGAATTTTTGGTACTGGGTGGGATCGAACCCGGCTCTCCGTATTACAAATCCGGCACCTACCACTTCGTTCGGTACTGTTTGTCGTTAACCCGGCTCTGAAGGTTTACTACAAGGTTTCTCCTTGCTCGAAAGAATAATAATGCCATGTCTCTCTTTAAAACGCCGCCGCCAATGATACGCATCCGTGATACTGAGTCCCATACGTGTTGCAAGAGCATTATACTCCGATTTCAACTGGTGCTGTCGTACATAAATGTATATTTATCTCGTTAGAAGCGCTGAAATCTTAGCTTTCCAACGAGACCAGGATCATCTTGCTACGATTTTTCTGTGCGGAGATAATGACGATTATATCAACTCGCAATCTCGATCTCGGGACAAAATCAATTTTGTTTTTGTAATTAATTAATGAAATCTCGTAAACTAATGATCCGAGATAAACCATTCTTATCTCGTTAGAAGTGCTGAAATCTTAGCTTTCCAACGAGACCAGGATCATCTCGCTACAATTTTTCTGTGCGGAGATATTGACGATTATATCGACTCGCGATCTTAATCCTGAAACAGAAGCAGCAGACGGCGCGTATTCGCGGCGTCTCGCGCGGTGTCTGGCGCAGCGGTGTTTACTACCGACATATGTGCCTCGTATGTTTTTATCCCAGTTTTTTGGGGACGTAGTACGCTCGCGTACTACTTGCGTAAAACTCGCGCGGCCTTCCTTCATGAATGGTGCGCGCGCGCGCCCGATTTTTAAAACAAGCACCCCAAAAATGAGTCATTCTACACACACACACACACACACACACACACACAAACGGCTCTTTTCAGGGCCATATGATGTGCAAAATCCAATCGGCAACCTGGTATATGCCAATAATGCAAGGGTTACTTTAAAGTATTGTATCCTTACGAAAAAAAAATGGCAGCGACTTCTTTTTTTTTAAATTGAAGAGGAAGGTTCGTACTCTATGTTCCTGCAAACAGTATCCCCCCCAAAAAATGTAGCAAGTCCATGCACTCCGTCAAACTTTGTAATTTTCAATATAACAAACATGCCCTCACATTTGAGGTGTTACAGTGGTAGGGATGCATCACACCTAAAAAAGAACTATAGTATCTTAAAGTAGAGATTTCAAGCTTTAATTAAAAAAAAGAACATAATTTTACGATGATTTTTCGCGGAGTTACCGTCAGTCAAAGTTGACCAATTTTTGCATAAAATTTTTCTATGCCATATTTCTTTTGAGCAGTGTAGAATTCAATATCAAAATTAACGCTCAATTCCATTAAAATTTAATTTTGAATTTAATTTTATGAAAATAACTTTTTCTCGAACTCGTTAGAAAGAAGCAATCGTGAGATATTTTAAGAGTGTTTTGTAGAACATTTAACAATAAGATTTATAAGAAAACAATTGTAAAGATTGCTTCTCGACAGTTGTGGCTTCGCACAGGATTTATAGGGTAATACCTATAAGCGCCTGCTGGCAGAAGATACCCCAGATGCAGATGAAATTCTCAGAGAGCAGACCCACGGTGCTTCGAGATTCGCGGTACGTTTTCATAAAGGATAGGAGAAGCGGCGCGGTCGCTATCAACGTAACAATTGTAGCCCACGTGCACAAATTGAATGTCTGTCGCAATCACACGAGTTAAGGAATTAGTTCAAAATCAAATCGAGCTTACTCAAAACTTTGTACTACTTATTTTCTGTTACATTTCTCATTCGGTATGTATTTAATAATTGGTGCTCATTGTAATCAGTTTAGGAGATGCGATTAATTTTAGAAAAATAACGATTTAACTTATAATAATTGCAACATGTACACAATATGAATATAAAATATTCTATGATAAATTGACTTTTATAAAAGCATACAAATTCAGAATAAAATCGCATCGTTAGATTTTTATCGGCTACGTAAATTAATAAAAAATGACAACAATTATATTCCACTTTTCCTAATGTTTGTAATACGCAGGCAATAAGATGTAATCGGGAAATTTTTTTGTATGTATAATTTCTCACCGTGATCATTTATCTCACATTCAGCATTAGATGTTGTTTACATTGAATAATAAGAAAAAAATTGACCAAGCTCGATTTAGGTGACCGGCACGTATTAGGCAACTTTCATCTACCTGTATTATTTTCGAAGCGGCAATAACGAGATAAGGGTAAACCCATAATTTTTACGTTAATCAATCATATTACCTGAAAATAACCGAGCCACTTGACGCCACATATTCCCGGCTCCTTGATGTATAGACTGTTTCTAGATATGATCAAGGGCAGCGTGAAATCGACGTGGCCCACCCGAAAGCTCGTCATCGACATATCGGCGATAGCGAAATCTGCACGACCCGATACAATCTCGCCCATCACTCCAGACCAGGTCCGATTTTGTCGATTCCACAGACCGTGTTCGCCCATTTGCGAGACGACGTTCAAGGTGAAGTTGAGGGAATACGTGAGCTCCTCCAACACTTTTCCGTACATACTGGCCACGTAATTCCCAGCAAACTTCGTCGAAACCGACGAATCCTGAATTTGCTTGACACCGATTAATTAAGTAGAAAATCCGTTTCGCATTTATTAATTTTATACGCAAGAGCCGTCAGAATTATGGTATGTACGATTAATTAGTGACACTACTATACTGATAGAAATATTTAACATTTAAATTTAATATCTTCAAATTTTCTATTAACAAAAAAATTGAAATGATAATCTTTCTAACCAACTGTTTTATTTACAAGCGTACATACCATAATATTTTATCCCTAGTGGCAAAGTACGTTGACAATAGCGCCATTAAATGTCGATAATATTCAAAGTGTCTTGGCCAATATTTTTCACCGTCAAGCTCAGGTCAAGTAAATACAAATGCAATGTCACTATCGCAACACCAATGTCGGTTATCGATAAAATGCAAATATTGCACGCTTATGATGACATAATCTAACAGCAAATAAAATTTATGCGCTAAATTGCAAAAAACCAATGAAACGCTTAGAACGCCAGGACGGACCTGAGATATCTTTCCCTCTCTCGTAGAATTTGAAATGAACAGGGGATCCTTGTTACGACAACGAAGCTGTGCTACTAGAGATATCGTATATAGAGAAAATTACATCGAATCTTATCAAGCACCTTAACCGTGACCGTCCGTAGAACAACTCCTTCCATGTCTCTCCTCCGATCATAGAGCGGCAGATTCGTCAGAGGAATAAATCCCTCGTCATCATCTCCCCATTCCGCCAAGTCAAAAATTTTGACAGTCTCGCCTTTGACAGAGTACCACTCCCGCAGGATTGCCTCGTTGTGGCACAGTACCAGCATCTGCGTGTCGAACCCCAGATGGAAGGGATTGCCGATCGGCTCGCGACAATAGTCGTGCGTATTGTTGTCGGGGGTGTAGAGAAACAGCGTGAACCACACCGGGAACGACATGGGGTAGGTCTCGGTGGCCTCCGCGAACTCCAGATACGCCTCGAAATCGGGTATAATGACGATGATAACAGGCTGGACTATTCGCTGGTGGTACCTGAGTGATCTCCGTAACTTTTTGAAGTGCACGTTCGCGGTCATTATGTAGCGCCGGCCCAGCAAGCGGGAGATCGCATGTATCAGATGCGTGATTTGCAAATCTACGGCGAGGATTTTCCAAAATCAGCTCACGCTCGAATACGTAAAACGGAGGACTCTGCCGAGTTCTCCAAAGAAGAAAAAAACTTTGTACAATCTTCTAACACTAGAATTAGAGTCTTTTGACAATGCGGTCAAATTGGTATTTTTTAAATTGCTTTCTGAGATTCTCCATGACTTTCGTTGAATGTTAAATACAATAAACGGTTAGGTGACGGTGTCCAAATAAAAAGTACGCTATTCATCGCAATACCCGTGGGGGATACAGTCTTATTAATCATACTGCACGGTATTTTATCATTATATGCCTATGTCGCTTATGATAATGAAAGTTCTCCTGGACATGCATGAACTTGCCAGATATGCAAGGTGTAATATATTCTTATATACGAAAAAAAATTGTATTAAATTTAATTAGAAATAATCTAATTCATTTACTAACAGTAATAACGAAATAAATACTTGTTTGATTCGAACAAGACTTATTAATATATGGAATTAACAGAATTATTTTCATTAAGACGCTCTTTCGTCTCTGTAGAAAAGATAGCAATAATAATACTGTGCCGTTTGGAAGATACCACTGACCCCCGTAATCCCCGTACATGTCGCCAGGATGGGTGAATATGACGGACGCCGCGGAATAAACCTTTCGAACACTCAGTATCACGTCGACGAAGGCGTCGACGTTGAAGCGAATCCCTGCCGAAGTGCCAAGAAGAACGAACAGCACCAGCAGCATCGAACGGGCCGAAGAGAGTAATTTCATTTCGTTCGAGGATCGGTCGAGGGTTTACAGCGCGATAGACCAACTAAACGGCTAAAATCTGCTCAGCTGGACAAATGCCTCCCTGTCGAGTAACAAGGGGTAGATGCAGGGACGTAGGTACATATCGAGCGTTTCTGATAACGTAATTGCGGCGATTCCGCGACGTGGAAATTGCGATCGATCGAACGAAGGCGATTAATCTCTTTTAATCCCTTTCCTTTCTTGCACCGTCGTTGAATTAGGAATCAACGACGTCCTCTCAAGAATATTGAACTCATATTGAATTTACGTTGGACAATGAATATGCAATGCAGAGATCTGGGTATATTCGCGGTCAATTAAACGCGAGCTCTTTTCCGACTGTTAACGTCACAGCAAATAAAAACATATTTTCGCTAAGTGTTCCAAAAGTAATCGAGCATTCGGTTTACGTAATAATAATGTCAAACAATGCCCGGAGATAATGAGCTAAGCGCAATTAATTCTTGGATTAGATTTGTACCGATGTGAATCACTCACGTGGCGATACGAAAGTAAAATGCAACGCGAGATTTCCGCCATGCGAAGAATCATCGACCTTATAAAAATCCTTGCCAATCGACGGCAAATTTTAAAATATCGACGTTCGTATCCGACCCTGGACACATCCATATGGAGAGTGCACATTTAAATTTATAATGCGACATCAGGCGTATTTCCACGAGCGTATACACCTGACCGATATCAGCGCCATTAGAAAATTACGATCGAAAACGATCGGCAGATCGCATCTTAAACATGCGTTTGTCAGAACGAACATTATCAAGTGCGATTGACGGACAGCACAATTTACTTGCCTTCGTTCGCCCTAAAAATCACAAAACGTTTCCTTCAGCTAAAATCAAATACATTTTGTAATGCAATTGTGTTAAATATTTATCAGAGGAAAGTCCCCCATTATGAGACTATAACTTTATTAATGTTCAACTTATGATATCTCAGTAACTGTTTGTTATAATAAACAATAGGGAATTCCACTATAAAATTCAAACCAAACAACTTTTGTTTGAAACGTTTTTCCGTATCTTTCATATTTGCGTGGACCATTAAAAATGAGACACCCTGTATATACAAATTATATATGTACGCATATAACAAATAATGCACGATATAGGTATGACGAGGCGTAAATCAAGATATGCATAGGACTCTCACGCTCGAAATTCTGAAAAGCAAGTGAAAAGTAAATTATATAATTAATTGAAAGACAGCAGCAGCCTCATTGTCGCGGATTGCGAACAACCGTTATCTTCAAGCTGTAATCGATTATAAAAATGTTCAAGAAAAATACAGAGAGCGACATCAAGGTTGATAATGCCCTTGTGTTCAATATACATAAGTCATATCTGTTTGTGCAATTGCTTTCTGGACGGTGTCTGGATTGCTTTCGAAGTTTATGCATACGATATGATTCATCGATCGATACGCGACCGGAGAGAGCTGGCCATCATCAAATTCGCCTAGTAATCATCATGGTGCCATTAAATGATTCAGCGACAATCGTGCGAATAACCGGGCCTTGTTGGTTTCGCAACATTGTGGATTTGCTAATTTATGAGCGATGTTAATTAAAGAAATAATGATCGACTATCAATATCGTCATTTGATCACAGAAAATTGATAACTTACTTTAATTGACATTGGCATTTTTTAATATTTCCTGCCTCAAAGTCCTACAAAAAAGCTGCCTTCTCCCATAATCCTAATGTTTGTAAATCAATTGGTACCATCAGTCCCAGACGTATTTATATGATCTCCAAATTAATTTCTTAATTGCATTTTCTCAGCTACTCTATTCTGTCAATAGCTATATTGAGTATTAGTACTCGCTTTATTTCCTCGATACACTTGGAGAAAACCATTATTTCAAAGTTCTCGTAAGTTGCTTCACCGGCGAAGTTTGTAATTGTATGGTACGTTTATAACTTTTTTTTATAATTACGCAAAGCAACGTGGTAATTGTTCTCGAATTATCGCCACTTCGACGCGAAAGTTAGGTAAATGTGGCGTCCGCATGCGCGCATAGATAGATCTAGAAAACGTGAGTCACTCCGCAAAATTGCGGCGAATGAACGCGCACTTTTCCCCTTTACTTTCCAGACGCTTCTAGAGTATTCTGGCCTGTCGCGGCTGTCGCAATAGTTCTGGACCGTTCCGCGCCTCCTGCGGAACCGGCGATCCGATCTGCCGCGAAAAATGTGTGTTGAACACTTAATAATGCATATATAATGAGACGGGTAGTATAAGATAAACGATATTCGAATAAATTATGACGCGAATGCGTGAAGAAATAAGAGAGACGAATCTGTTATAATAACGAACCCGTATACGTACACGTTGGACAATTATTGTTTAATATTCCATGCAAAACTGGAGTCTATTTTTTAATACACTAAAACAATACCTGCGCGCGCGACTTATTTATTTGTTCTCGTTTTCTTACGGTAACTTTTACGCGTAACAAATAGTTAATCACCTTCTTAGAAAGGGATTCTCACTGTTTGATATCTTCTGGTTATTTATTAAAATTAATAGGTTTCTTTTTCTGATAAAAAATATTAGAAGATGTTACAAAATTAATATCTCCTAGTATTATCTCTCAGTTTATTAATTTATCAATTCTAATAAGTGAGTTTTCGATGTTCCTCGAAAACCACAATAGTCGTCGCGAAATACTTAAGAATACGTCGATTCAATCGGTCTTACGGATTTTCGAATCGCGGGGAACGTTCCTGCAACTTGTCTTGAGGGGATGCTGGAGCGATTCTGCACTTTTGGCACCTTTTTCCTCCTAGAACTGTCAACTCGTGAAAACGTTTGTGTAATATACAAATTATGTGGCTTTTGTGTACGAGCCGACAGTGTTCCACTATTCGGGCTAAATCAGAGAACAGCATGGCATCATTGAAATTAAGTTTAGAAGCTTAACAAAAATATCTATTCATTTATATATTAACACAGATAGACTTCTGTCACAAAAATGCTTTCACGAATCGACAGTTATAGGAGCGAAAGATGCCAAAGGTGCAGAACCACTCCAGCATCCCCTTAAGCGATATAGTCTAATATAACGTTTGATTACAATACTCGAAAGTTGAATATGAAAAAAACATGTTGCAATTCGCATGATGTTCTATGATGCAACTACGTGTGTGGCGCAACGGCACTATCACGTCGTGAATCATCATTGCAAGTCAGTCACGTGGTCAACAACTGTCAAATAGGCAGACTCACTCAGAAATGGCGGCGCGTACGTGGACTTCCGTCGTTCGAATCCACCCGAGCGAAAAGACCCTTTCTCGTCCCGAAATCGGTGTCTATCCCGGCGAAACTTCTTCCCAACGACGTGTTTCCGAATCCGCGGCGGATCGACGAGAAAGAAACGGCGCGAAACGGCCGCAGCGGCCCAAGAGCAGCGGCCGCGGCGCCGCGGTCGCCGGAAGTGACTGCGGCGTCTAGAGCGGCTCGAGGGACGTGCGCATGCGCGTCGGCGTGACGGACGTCAGGCGGTCAGAGGTGGGCTATCGATCTTGCATAAAAGCGAGTGGCCGCGGCCTTTACGGCAAACGACGTGGCGACTTTCGACGGGAGCGCGTGTTGCCGGAGGAGAACGGGAAAGTCGAAAGCGAAGCGCAACGAATCGTGCGGATTCACGTCATTTCGGGCGCTTCTCACCAAGCTGCGGCTGTTCCGCGCAGTTTCTTTTCCGTCGAGCCGTTGCGGATACGGAAATACATTCCACCCGAGCGTTGGCAGAGCGACGATGGCCAAGCTGAGCTTCAAGGTGTACCTGGTGAACAAGGGGCCGTGGACCTGCACGGAAGTGCGCAGATTCGGCGTCGACGCCGACGTCGCGACGAACATCGTCTACCTGCGCGAGAAGCTGCAGACCATCTTCCCGGATCTGCGGGGCAGGAGCTTCGCCGTCACCTGGAGAGGTAGGTTCTTTGTGTTCTCACTTTCTCTCCCCCCCCCCCCTCCCCGTTTTTTGTCCTCGTCGAGGGGAACGAGGCTGAAATGACGTCAGAAGTCGACGTTGTTTATCAAAGGTCTCGTTAGCGAAGGCACCGCGTTGCGTCGTTTCCCGCGAGCCGACATCGTGCTTGACGCGTTAAAACAGCGGAGGCGCAAATCGAACTTTTACCTCGCCTAAATGTTCACGTCCAATTTTCTGCGCACTTCTCATTTTTTGCTCACCCGCGGTGCGTCGCGGACAAAGATATCTGCGCACACACCTGTTTAAACAGTAACAGTTTAATTGCTTGCTGCTTGCCATCAAATGTTGGTATTTAAAACGAATTTCAATGCGTTGATTCTCGCACAGTCTTGATAAATTTGTTTTGCAGCGTAAGCTCGCAATGAAAAGACGTCAAGTTGTTACAATGCGGTCAGCGTTCCTCGTATATTAGACAGAAGTCGCCGCTAGCGTGCTGACCGCAACCAACTATTCACCTTGTCTTTTGTGTCAATAGATAACGAACATGAGACCGTCACCATATCCACCAACGAAGAATTGGAAATCGCGTTCCAAGAGATGGCCAATTCTGACCTCTACAAGTTGTACGTCATGCTGGGGTCATGCTCAGGGCATAAGGAGACACATAGGCCGGAGAAAGAAAAAGAGAAACTACATCATCCCGGCGTGATATGCGACGTATGCGACAAAAACATATGTGGCTATCGCTTCAAGTGCATGCACTGTCCGGATTACGACTTGTGCACAGACTGCATGAACTACGGCCATCATTCGGAGCATTACATGGTCCGTATGGCGCAGCCGACCGATTGGTCAAGTTACCAGGGTCGCCGGCTTGCTCACCACATGCGCAAGTTCATGAAGAAGGCTGCTCACTGCAAGGAGGATGAGGGGCGTAGGTGTCCGGTCAGGAACAAGCGAAGTGGCTGCCCGCTGTTCAACGTAGATGGTAAATTTGGCCATTTTGATCCGCCTCTTGTAAATACACTGGAGAACTTCATAGTAGACTATTGTGGTGCTTCGTCAGACGAAGGTCACGAGGAAAAGCAGACCAAGGAACCGTCCGCCGAGGCTGCGACCGAGGCGACGGAGGACCCGCAGCAGGAAGCGACCAGGCGTTCTTTCTCGCAGCTAATGAAGATCGTCGAGGACAACATCTCCAATATCTCGCAGTTCCTGGATCCGCTCGGCATCAACGTCACCGTGCTCGCCGACAACGAACCCGCCAAGAACAAGCCCGCGGACAGCGCTCAGACTAAGACCAACGCGCAAAGTTCCGAGGACCGTGCGTCTACATCTGGGGAGAGCTCCGTCAAGAAGTTCCCCGGCGAAGGGAAGAAACTGCGCGACGATGCTGTAAGTACTGCCCCTTCGACGGATAATGTATCCACAGTAATAAATAGAGGTGTCTTCGGGGAGATAGACAGTGCGCTAAGTCACATCTCACTTCATAACTTTTGGGCGAGAAAAACGGATTTGGACTGGACCAGGTTTTCGAACCTTGGGGCCTTCCGCTTGCCGGGCGAGCCTACTCAGCTATCCAGACCGCTCGAAACCTAACTTAAAGTAAGATATGTTAGCAACTTCAGAGCGATACATGGTATCTCACTCGATGCTTTGCTACCATATAATCATATAATTGCAGAGTGGCCGCGTCCCCGAAGACCCTTCTAGTAAACAAATTCCCCCCTTTACCCTGCCTAAACGAGATTGTCCTCGGAGTGGGCGGATGCGAAACGAGCACGGCCTTCAGAGGATGCGTTTTGTTTCTCGCATGATGCATCATTTATCCTTGTCTTTCGCCAAACGTTAAAGAAGCATAAATGGTGCATTATGTGCATCGTGCGTGAAACGGAACGCACCTATAGTAAAAAATATGTATAAATAGGTACAAAAGGATTCAGCAGCAACGGCAGCAGCGATAGCAGCAACGGCAACAGCCACGGTAGCAGCGGCAACAGCACCAACTTCTACCGAGCAAGCTGCCGAAGCCGAGGAATGGACGATGATCCATCGCGAAAGCCCAAATATTAGCCGCGCCTCGTCCATTTCCTCCTCTCAGACAAATGGAAGCACGGTGCCGAAACAGGTATGTTACCGCGCATATGCAAAATAAACAGTAGATTAGAACCTGTGGAATAAAAAAGGTTTAATAATATTTTAAAATCTATGTAATTATAAATGTCACTTTATAGACATAATTGCGCAATATTAAGGAATTAAGGTGCAATTAAGAAATATAATAGCTTAATATATTGTAACAAGGTGTTATATAAAAAGAGGATTCAGAACTGGAGGACTGATAGAACTTCATTTGCAAATTATTCGCTTTACCAACATCGAAAATCGCATCTGATTCTGACATAATTGAGTTCTCCGATGTACTCAGCTTAATAGGTACTATCCTCGATATCAATGATGTCAACGATAGTATCAATGGCTACTTCATAAGTCCTGAATCTTCTTTATTCACGTGTATACGTATCACGTATTCAGAATACCTCATTTTACAGGTCGCACCGTCAGCACCCGTGGCAGAGCCAGAAAAAACGCCGCCAAACCAGAGAATCTACCCACCCCTACCTGAAGAAGTAAAACGCGAGATATTTCATCCAGATCCCAAGATCCAACGCGCCGTAGAATCGATGATGGCGATGGGATTCTCCAACGAGGGCTCGTGGCTCACCCATCTGATGGTTGCGCAAAATGGTGACATCGACAAGGCGCTGGATGTAATACATCCGGTACGCCGTCACTAAGGGGGATGGGGCCAAACAGTAGTAAACGATAGCTGACGTAATCAATGGCAAAAATAATAGTTGATGTATAATCCATTGGATAGTTGGTGTGGTAGTTCATAATTTGTTCTGTCTTTTTTTTAGGTTACTCTTTTTATGATTAACGTTACACATGTCCTTTGATTCCGTTTTTCCAAATATGAGAATACTAAAAATTAATTTTGAATTTATTCTTAATCTGTTAACCGGGCAATTAACTCGTCATTGGAAAATACTTCTGTAACGCGCAAGTGAACTCATTGCGACACTTTAGTAAATACGAATGATTACACTCGTATACTAAAAGTCTATATATTATTTTCTTGTGGTATGTCATGTATTTTTTATAGCGCCACAAGATACGTTAGTACATCTTCCAATTCAGTAAAGCATTTCGTATTTACTGTGGGCAAGACGAGTTAACACATTAATAGATTATATTAATATTTCTTTACAAGTGTATGTACTATATTGCTAAACTTATATTCCACGTACGCACACACTTGAATACAAGATTGTTTTAAAAATATGATATTGTTTACGTAATATAAGTTATATCTATACGCTTAGCATTTTTATTTTAATATGTTCAATGTAAAGAACGCTAAAATATTGTTTAGTGGCTGGATTATTATGTATTATATTTGCTTAATAAAGTAATACTGGTACTGAAAGTAAATTTTTTTTTTCAAACTTCAAAATGTACCTATTGATAAAAATAACATTAATAAAATTCGTATGGCTCAAATGCGATAAACACAAATTTGAAGGAATAAAGGACTAAGAGCCGTGACAGGGTGTTAGTGTCCAAATATTTTATTCTAGATTTATTGTGAAAAAATATCACCTCAGCCAGGGTTTGAACCTGGACCTCCTTCTCTCGCTAGGCGGGCGTCTCAACCACCGAGGCATGTGGCAATATTCATCGCAATAAACAGTCTAATCTTGATTGCCGATAATAAAAATAAAATATGTAAATATATTTTAAAAAATGGCTGTGTTCTCCAGAAGTTAGCGCTTAATAAGCCCTTTATGCTGATTGGATAGATCTAGAAGAATAGCTCTATTTCAGCACAGATCTGAAAGTATAATCCAATGAACGCAAAGCGCTTAGCAAGCGCTAACTTCTGCTGGACACAGGCATTGACTAAAGATAATTTATGAGGACAAAAGAAGGTGCCAATAACTTTAGAAATTGTATTATAAATATCCCGGTGTTCAATTATTTTTACAAGAATTTACAGTGATCCATTAAACCCCGCGGGTTTTTATTAGTAAGTAATTCTATTTCTTTCTGGCCACTGGGTGTTATGTTTCTGATCCATTTGCGATCTTTGTAGTACTCTATCATACTATCGAATTCCGTAATAGTATAATCTTCCACTAAAACCGGTAGGAAGGGATCTAGATGCTCGAAGCCTTCTTTACCAAGCAAATATCTAGGAAGATAGGATTCCCGTCGTTCCTGAAAACGAAAGATTTTTCCCTTTATTATCCATCGACGTTTAACGCTGAAGATTTTCTTCAATTTTAACTTAAACATAAAATGTCTCGCAGACCCTAGTAAGCCGTTAAATTCCCTTTAGATAAACTAATTATACAAATGATACATACCTTATTCGCCTTCTCGTCTACTGTTAGTACAATTGCACCGTTACACCAATCGCTTTTCGTTATGTCGAAGAACGGTACCGCCAACGAGACCTGCTTAGGCAAAACCATCACCTTGTTGTCATCGAGGATGCCCGTGTGACTCGATGTGAACGCGTTGAATCCGTCTATCATGACCATCGTCTTGAACTTCCCCGCAGTACTAGCGAGTTTTATTTCCCTTATCAGCGCGTCCACCACGCCGCAAGCGTACTTCATGCGATTTATACCAAAGTCAATGAGCTCTAAGATAGGAGCACCCTGCGAGGTCATTTCGCGCTGATTCCACACATAATCCTTGGTTGTTCTGAGCTGCAAGGAAACGAATGCACGTTAGATACAGCCGGCAAAGCGATATCTCGTAATGTACGCACATCAAATTGCGGTAATAACATCGAGTTTTGAAATTTAAACTGTTTCAGCCATATTCCAGCGTCGATTGGCAGATCCATGCAGCCCGGGGATAACGTCGAAGCCGCGATTTCTCTGAAGTGCTCGAACCAATGAGCAGCTAAAGAAGTTAGTACAATTACAACGATGAGTTGAAGATGACGTATATCTATTATTTACATAAATAGAGACAACGTACCCCAATATACATGGACAAGCAGATATTTCTGCATGAAGGCATAGTGTAGTATATGACTTAACGTGATACTTTTTCCCGTTCCAAATTTTCCGTCTGTTTAATATCGTTAAGGTTTCTTTACTCATATAATCGCTAATGTCTTTGTAGTAAAAAATATTACGCAAATGCAAGAGCAATTCGTTAGCGGCAGAAAAATGAGACCGAAGAGACGCAGCTGTTGCGAGCTTGCAGAAACGTAACAAGGGATATTTTCTGCCTCCAAAAGGATACACAATACGTATTTGTTGACGGGCTTCGTATAGTCGGCTTGATTGAGGTAGGAAATAATTTCGATCGCAGGTTGCCTGACCAACAGCGAGCACTCTTGAAAGGTGGTGACTTGCTTCATAAATGTGCGAGGCAAGCCGCCGTACTGAAAGATTTGCTGCTGCACGTCCGTCGGCACCGTATACACTCTGGCGAGGTGGTCCGCATTGTGATTCACTGGATTGTTCTCCGTCGTGCGGAACGAGCACACTTGAATCGGCTGCTCGTCCACTTTAACAGCCGTGCTGAATTTTCTGCCGTACGCTTTGTGTATTCCCCTCAGTAGCGAATCTGCAATCGATACATTCGCTGAATCTTGGCCGTCTTAGAGCGACTTCGGCCAAACTCGGATTGTATTAATTATAATTAACTCAATCGGCAGACCTGTTTGCAGCAAAATTCTCAACTACGCTGGCAATTCATTGTCGCTGATCTAATATTTATTCCCGCGTCTACAGTGACGTTTAATAATTTTGCCCACGTTAACGAAATACTACATCAGATGTTGCTTGACAAGTTGATCCCCAATCAAGTCAATTCGAGTTTGGACAAATCAACTCATCTCGTCTTATCACTGTGACTTATTGTCGCTGTTATTAGTTGCACGAAATCGTGATCAACATCACGAGCGAAGTAACAAGATTTACAAAAGGTAAAACAAGTCACAGTGATGAGCGGAGCATTGTCGATTGGTTTGGCGAATTAAACGTAAATAAGAACTCACGTGAACGTAAAGACATTGTGCTGCCTGCTCTCTTTCAGAACGATACACGTTTGGTTGCAATTATCACAGAATCTCTTACAAAATTTACAAGTTCGATAAATGCGTATGTGCGACGACGTTGTGTACGCAAATTCGATATAACCTATACGTCTGCGTTATTCCCTAGGAGAAGAGAAACACTGACAAACAGTGATGCCAGAATGGTGGCGTTTTTAGCACATGCGCGTCGATTTGAGGCTCACTGAAATACCTACTACGGACAAATAGGTGTATCGCTAGTCGTCCGTAAGAAATTTTCTTAAAGAAAATTAAAAAAAAATTTTCTTACGAACAAGAGACCTTTCCTAAATAATTTTTATTATAAAATAATAACTTTGCAATCCTTACAGTTTAAAATGGCACCAAACAATGAGAAGGTGAAGAGAAAAGACGTACTCCTGAATGTGGCGCAGAAATTAGAACTAATCGAGAAGTTGGAACAAGACTTCTCAGTGACGGATGTTTGTAATATTTATGGCGTACACGAACGAACAGTGTTCAATATCAGGAAATCAAAATCTAAATTACAAGAATTTATTTCAACACATAATATTAATACCTCTGAATTACCTGCTTCTACAATAGGGAATAAAATCCGCATGGATTGTGGACGAAGTAAAAATTTAGATAAAGCTCTGTATGAGTGGTATAATCAACAAAGATCCAGTGGTATCAATGTATTATCCATAAAGGATTTCCACACGTAAAAAAAAAAAAGTGGTATCAATGTATAACAACCAGTTGAAATCGGAGTGTAATGCGCTTGTTACACGCATGGGATTTCACTATCGCGGTCACATATCATTGGCTGCGACGGTTTAAGACAAGACACGGCATTATAAATAATGCCTTGTCGTATTTTAAAACGCCGCAGCCAATGATCCGTGATACTGAGTCCCCATGCGTGTTACAAGAGCATTTTATACTCCGATGTACATTTATGTACCAGGTGATGCCGAGGTCTCCGCTTTTCCCACCGTTCTCATTCTGTCAGAGAAGGTGGAGGAGCGAGTCCCTCTTTGGGGGGGGGGGGGGGCAGATTCGACTTGGTGGCATCCCCGAAAATTTCCGGGGCATGCGCACCCTGTGGACACCGTCCACCTTCTTCCGAATCTGCATTCGGATCCCCGAGAAAACCACCCCCCCAGAATTTTTGGTACTGGGTGGGATCGAACCCGGCTCTCCGTATTACAAATCTGGCACCTAGCACTGGTATCCACTGACCCACCTATTTCTTTTTGGAATATAAACTTCGTCTTCGGTACTGTTTTTCGTTCCTGGCTCTGAAGGTTTACTACAAGGTTTCTCCTTGCTCGAAAGAATAATAATGCCATGTCTCTTTAAAACGCCGCAGCCAATGATACGCATCCGTGATACTGAGTCCCATACGTGTTGCAAGAGCATTATACTCCGATTTCAACTGGTGCTGTTGTACATAAATGTACATTTATCTCGTTAGAAGCGCTGAAATCTTAACTTTCCAACGAGATCAGGATCATCTCGCTACGATTTTTCTGTGCGGATATAATGACGACTATATCAACTCGCAATCTCGATCTCGGGACAAAATCAATTTTGTTTTGTAATTAATTAATGAAATCTCGTAAACTAATGATCCGAGATAAACCATTCTTATCTCGTTAGAAGTGCTGAAATCTTAGCTTTCCAACGAGACCAGGATCATCTTGCTACGATTTTTCTGTGCGGAGATAATGACGATTATATCGACTCGCAATCTCGATCTCGGGACAAAATCAATTTTGTTTTTGTAATTAATTAATGAAATCTCGTAAACTAATGATCCGAGATAAACCATTCTTATTTCGTTAGAAGCGCTGAAATCTTAGCTTTCCAACGAGACCAGGATCATCTCGCTACGATTTTTCTGTGCGGATGTAATGACGATTATATCGACTCGCAATCTCGATCTCGGGACAAAATCAATTTTGTTTTTGTAATTAATTAATGAAATCTCGTAAACTAATGATCCGAGATAAACCATTCTTATTTCGTTAGAAGCGCTGAAATCTTAGCTTTCCAACGAGACCAGGATCATCTCGCTACAATTTTTCTGTGCGGAGATATTGACGATTATATCGACTCGCGATCCTAATCCTGAAACAGCTAGAAGCAGCAGACGGCGCGTATACGCGGCGTCTCGCGCGGTGTCTGGCGCAGCGGTGTTTACTACCGAACATATGTGCCTCGTATGTTTTTATCCCAGTTTTTTGGGGACGTAGTACGCTCGCGTACTACTTGCGTAAAACTCGCGCGGCCTTCTTTCATGAATGGTGTGCACGCGCGCCCGATTTTTAAAACGCTATAACTCGGCGAAAAATCGACGTAGCGACACGAACCAAAAACCAATCTTCTTCGTTTCGCATGCCGCAGCTGTCTATGTTGAGTATACAATGCTCTTATCGTGAAACTTGCATACGACAATGGAATAAAAAGTAAAATGTAAAATATAAATTATACGTATAACTACTAAATATAAAATGTTGCTGACAAGCTATGTTACACTGTATAGCAAGTTTAGTAAAGTTTGATTTTTTATCATTAATCATCCTATTTTATTGACATGCTTTAGTTCTACTAGCACTTTGGTATAATTGCGGTGTAGCGGAATAGTTCCAAAAATGAAAATGGGCGTAAGGCGCTGGAATCAGCCAAGCGAAAACGGTATCAAGTAAAACGCCGGCGTGGCCGCTCTCAGGTTTCTCTCTGCTTAAAGCAAGATTGTGGACCAGGGCTAAAGGCTGGTCTACAATACATGGAGTAAGCTGGAGTAAGGAGTAGGAGTAAGGAAATAAATCCATTTTATTTCTTACTCCTACTCCTTACTCCAGCTTACTCCATGTATTGTAGACCAGCCTTAAGAGCTGCCACGGCCGGGTTTTAGGTGATTCTCGAATGCGATACGGTCTCTGTAAACAGCATTAAGATTTCTTGATCGTATCTGGCAATTTTAATGATTTAAGCAGTCATGCCCCGTCATCTATCGAGCAATGTTCTCGGGTATCAAACACCAACACTAAATTCTCATAGCATTATGCGATTATACATGAAAATCAATTTTACATCACCAAAATATACGCGGGTCTATATGTATATACGACCACCTCAGTCAGATCGCTTGAAAAGGACCGAAACCCATGGTCGAAACTTAGAGCTTACGATTGGATATGTGTTTTAAGATTCACGTGTACACGTGATCCGTGTACACGGATTCACGGTACCTTCATTCACGTGTACCTGTGTCCGTGACACGTGTACACGTGTAGTCGTGTATGTGACACGTGAATTCGAATGTCCGTGTATGCGCAACCTCTATTAAAAAAAGTTTTGACCATAAAAAAAAGCATTATCCTCCCCTATATTAAAGGATTGACAGACAAAAGTAGCACAAACTTGAAAAAAACTGGCCTAAACACCATCTACACTGTCCCAAAAAATTAGATAAAATTATTAAAAGAGTTAATTGAAATGCGTAATGCAAAGGGGGGCAATGAGAGCCAAACGCTGGGTGTTGAGTGCGGATAATGATATTACACAACGTTTTGAATTAACATGGACTTCCAATAACATTACGGCGAGACAGATTGTTTCACTTTTGGATCCAAGGTTTAAAGACTTGGAAACGTGCTTAAATCATAAAAATTGCCAGGTACGGTCAACAAATCTTAATGTTGTTTAATTATTGCTGGCGACCCTGATGAATATTCCTGTTGGTCTCTGTAAGCATTAGAAAAGGTGGACATCAATTACGTAGCCTATGTCCACATTTTGCCAAGTGGGTAACACAGATAAATACCGACAAATGATAATGCGCTTCGTCTAAAGTCAAGCTCGCTTTTGCACCCTACCACGAGATGGCGCTACCAGTTCCTTTCACGCCAGTTCCTTCCACGCCGAGTGGAAGAAAGCAGCGTAAGTTCAGCGGACGAGATGCGGCTGAGAAAAGCACCGGTAATATTTCTTAAACAATAACACAATTGTCAAAGAAGATTACTTTCTTCTCAAGGCAAAGTCTGCATTTTGCGCCAACGGATTATTCATTTTATGTGTAACGAAATTCGCGTTTATCACAGGCTTCTTTGTAATCCGTAACCTGTAATGTTGTCTCTAACTTTATCGTAGATATCCATGCTAACGATTAATTATTAACGACAGATATGATGCGTTAGTGCGTTAGTGTCCGTCGCAGTTTACTTTGCAACATGAAAGTTCCATTTGTTTAAACCTGCCGGATACGGCGAGGTAATTGAACGTCGCGGAAAAAAGAAGATAAGTCGGGAGGAGGGGGGGGGGGGAGGGCGAGTTCTTGTTCGCAAAACGCAGTCGTCAAAGTGAATTGGAAGTTCTATTATTGTCGTCATTATCGCGTCGGCCCGAAAGTCCCAATTAGGTGGCAAGGAGCGCCCCTTCCTCTCCGGAGGACGGGAGAGGGCGAGGAATTTCCGAGGAATTCGCGGCGGGTACGAGACTAGGTGGTCGCCATTAATCCTCGCGCGTACGCGGTGACAACCACCGAATTAGTCGGGCGATCCGTCAAAAAGCGCATTTCCGTGGGCGGGCGTGCGTTATATCCGCCGTCTCGGGCGAACACATGGCGTTCCGGGCATTTCGCACGCACGCACGCACTTACGAGCGCGTCTCCATCGCGAGATAAGAAAGACGTGTATACGGGCCTCGCAGCTGGAGATGTCCAAATCAAAGATCAGGGGGTCAATTGCAACATAGTGAAAATGCTAAAAGTGAACGTCTTTGTCTCTTTCTGTCCACTTAGAGAGAGACAAAACCGCTCACTTTTAGCATCTTCACTACGGTACAAGATACAGAATTGACAGAACCACGTACGAGAACTGCAGTGCGTTGAAATCCGAGGGAGCTCGCTCGCCACCTTCTCGAATAAAACAGTTCATTTGCTCGGGAAAGTTTTAATTATAAAGAAAATCAATTATTCATTCGTCGTTAGATCTACCGTCGTGGTTTTATTCCTGAGGTAAACAGGAGGGAGAGGGACATGACACACAGACAAATGGACGTTTCCTCTTCCTTTATTTCCTTCGTTTCTTTTTCTTCTCCTTTTAATTTAGATTTCCATTATCCGGGGACGCAATAGCACAATATGTTATCTTTGAACCGT